CAAGACTGAGAGTGTTCCTCTTTTTGAATCTTCATTCACATCTCCGTTTTGTTGGATGTGATTTCCCTCCATTGACGAGATAATCGTGCTTCCAAGATGTTCGGCCAACACATGAGCTTGATCAAAACAAAAGAGGCAGCGCAAATCATCGTCAATATAGCTGCAATGTATGTCGTTCAACTTGTCCAAAGACAATAGCTTCAGTTTCAGAAAGCATAGTCTGATGGCTCTTGAGTTGAACAATTGGTGAATGAGAAACTGTGCTGGAGTTATGTTAGGATATTTTTCCTTGAGATATTTGAGAAACAGAACACGAGACAGTAGAAAGGCATAGGTAATATCATAGAGTTGTGGCAGGCTTTGATTCGGTTTTTTCCATTTTGAAGTGATGCTTTCAAAACTTTCTTTCAATGAGAAGAGTGAGGCATCATTATTAGAATATTCAGACGGATACTCCTAAGTGGTAATCTGTGACAAAGCTAATTCTAATAACGCACACTTTGAATCTCCAAATTAAACCCTTCATCACCACCAATCCATATGCTCCAAACTCCATTATCCTCATTTTTTGGAGATTCGAGTCACAAATAACGGGTAAATAGTATTATTATTAAATTGGCTAATTACAGGAATCAATCCCATTGGCTCAACTACTTTTCGTTTACAACCACTCATTATCAAATGTGTTACTTGTTCGTATCACAAGACAAACAATCAACTACTATAAAAGCTAGAATGCTTAATCTTATCAATAAACAACTATTCAAACTATTTCAACTTTCTAATTACTTTATCACACCTTTTTACTATACTTGAAAAGACCAAGTCTGCTGATCTTGGATTAAAGTGAAACTTCCATTACACTTTTGATTTGTTCTCTTCTGATAACTACTAACAGTTACAGATTATATTCTACTTTATACTTTACTACATTTATACAAATCACGAAGCTCCGAAAATTCTGACAGTCCAAGGTAATTCTGAATAAATAAACACCAGATAGTCACTGATAAACTGATAGTAGTTGATGTATAAATGGCACATTGTATAGTTACATTTAATTGCCAGCAATGTGTGATTGGATTACTCGAGTCATCAAGCAGTCATCAAACAGTTTTCAAGAACAATCAAGTCATGTCCAATAAACTGTCTGATGTGCAGGTGATTTGGCATTGGTCCGTTAGTCCATTAGTACGATTGTTGGTTGGCAATTCGGACTTGTAAATGACAATTGATTCTTGATTGTTGCATTGGTGTCCATATGTGTCCATATGTGACTCATTGTATACGGAACAGGACTGACAAGTGTGTCTGAATTGATGACAGATGATACAGCCTATCCAACAAAAAGTAATACATTGATCGTGTCTGCATGGAAATAAGCTTCATAACTTCCACTTCTGAATGTATGAGAATCAACATTCAAACAACGAATACGTCCAGTGACTCTTGCAAATGCATTGATAGAGTGTTGTTGAATAATTCGAGTGTTTACAAATCAGCATCACTGGAAATAGTTACTGTTATTCAGACAGTCACTTGTCCAGACATTACAGTTGTAATATTACACATTTTCCATTGTTGCTGGATACCAATATGCCTACATTTAAAAATGAATGCTACCAACAATTTATTCCATTAGAACTGCAACTGTTGCTTCAAGGTCATGGACATATCGTTGTAAATCGTTTCAAATATCAGTCTGTTACCCCATTTTAAACCAATCCATCAATCTCTGATTCGGCTCGCTCAATACTCTCCAGCAGCTTGCATTCCATTCCTACAACGACTTGTTCATCGTATCCATGTTTACAGCGTTTGTTGTTTTGACTGCGATTTGCATCAACCCAGAATAATGGAATTTACCATTTCCTTTGTAGAATCTGTCCATAATGTCTGTTTTAATGTAATCTTTTGACTGTTTTTCAATACAAAAGTCGACAATCATTGCTTTATCATCGACTTGACCGCAGTTTGATGAGTTGACAGCACAATCGCATATACACAGGATACGAAATATCAAATCCAATCAAAGTTGGGTATTGTTTGCTGTATCCTTGTCAACTCGGACAATAGCACCACATGGCAATACTTGATAGCAATGTAGACTGTTTTGGTGCTGTGAGATGCAATGATACAACGAGTTTCAGGACCCATTCCAATATGATGCAGCATATTGCAGACAAGCAGTTCATTTGTATCTGGTTGTCTGATACCTTTTACATTGTATTGTGTGGGTCTGTACTGACGAGTCTTGATGTAGCAACAAACAGTCAGTTGTTGCCAACATTCCAAGCAAATCTGGTCTGAATTCCGTTTTTCTTTGGAGATAATGAGATGTCAAACAACTGGCCAATGTCAGCCTTGTAGTGTTGAATGACAGTATTGATTGACAGCAGTTTGAATCGGTTCCGTATTTCCATCCAGATACTGTGATATTGGCAAGAAGGATCTTGCAGTTGTTGGTTGTTGATGTGCAAGTTGGATATAAAGTTGTTTTCAATCAATCCGTTGACAATCATGATATCATACTTTGATTTGTATGTACGCAATACTGCTGTCATTTTGTGTATGGTGTTTTGTATTCCTACAAACGCATTCCATTTCCAGCTGTTTCCTTTGTAGACATTTGATGTTGTGTAACAATGAGGATGTAAAATGTAGTACAGAAACAGATGACTAAATTATATTTATTCCAATGGATTTAGCACTCTTGTTCAAGTAAAACGGTATCATCCGATATTCATTATACACTACTTGTACGTTGAATCATGCCAATCACTTGCTATTTTAACAAGCATGGAATATCACAACACATATTGATGACCAACTAATAGCCGAATGTCAACTTATTGCAGTTTTGGTTTATGCTCATTTCTTAACCCTAACCCTTGATCATAACCCTTTTTAGGGCGAAGCTGTGTAATCAACCATATGATATTCAAGCGTATGGACAAATAGCGGCTCAACCAAAATTTTGGATCACCATATAAAGGGAGATCCCTTCAAAGTTTGGCATTGATAACAAATCAATATCAACCCTGACAACACTAACCCTTAAAACGGTCATTCAAGGGATATGCTTTTAATATCATTTATTCAATAATGTATATAAATGTTTCAAAACTTGACCTGTTGAATGACATTACAACTTGCTCAACCAAAACAGTAGAATGAAACTCGCAGTTGCTGTATTGTCATCGATCCTGCTTGCATGCTCAGTTACTATTGCCAATCCAATTAAACCCAGTGAAAGTACAGATGTTGAAACTAGCACTTCAACCGTCATTCCCAGTGCAACTACAAGTACTGAAGCTAGCACCTCGCCAACTCCTAACCCAAACGGTATAGGTTTAGGTGGTCTTGATGCACTTCCAGATAGCATCAAGGAATTGCTCGAAAAATACGTAAGGCTAGGTTATGGTCGTGATGAACAAAAAAAAGTATGCGACCCGTTAAAATCTGAGCATGACAGCCAGATTATGCTGGTAGCGGGCTTGGAAACGAAGATTCAAGTTTTGGAACGTAAATTTCAAAGAAGCGGCGGCAGTCCAAAATATGATGGTAAAATTCAGAAGACTAAGGTTGATCTCGAAGCCCAAGAATCCAAACTTAAGGATATTAGAAGCCGCTACAAGGAGTGCCAGCTCAAGAAAAGTTGTTTTGAAAATACAATATATTTCACCAAACTGAGCCTCGTGAATCTCATTTTCGGAAGAAATTGGAATTGTGAATCACTTTATCAGCAATTTGATCTTATCAAGAAGCACTCTTCCGTTAAAGGTTACCTTGACGAATTATCATTAGAATACAGTAAGATTCTTGGTCAAAGCCCTAGTGATCAACAATGTCAAGAGTCGCAACCATCACCGGATACACCATCTGGATCTGGATCCTCTGGACAGAAAGTTCCCTCCAATAAACGGAAAAGGGTTTCCAAGCTTATGCATGATGTTGGGTCATGCTTTCATCAACCCAAAGATGACAATCCATCCAATTAATTTGAATGTCAACCTGTTGGTTCCAATTGATTCAATTGTCATTCTGGTTTAATTTGCAATAAAATTGGATTTTCATGCATTATATCTGATTATTGTACACAGTCTTGGTTGACACGATATCATATTGTACATTGACACTTGTATTTCCAATACAATACAGTTGATTGTATATTGCATAGTTGTACACATTGATGATGCTGACATGCATGTGTGTATTGTGTTGATATGATATTGCTTGACATGTCGTATTGACACATGACATTCAATACCAACAATAGTCATGTGTACAATATCAATATGTTGCACAACTGTAATCCAAACAGGTTGGAGCATGCCACATTGTAGCAATGCAACCAAATTGGTACAACACATGCCAACATACATGTAGTGTAGTGTACACTAGTAGTGATGATTCAACTAACGACATGATCATGTCCATGTTCATGATTATGGGGACATACAGTGTTACAATGATGGGTCAGCAACAATGTGATGAAACTGGATGCGTAATATCAAAACCATGCTCAGAATACGTGATATAACGACAACTTGCAGTCATATTGATGTAAATGGACCACCAAATAACAGTGTTGGTGTGTGATAAACAGTTGCATTACTGACATGTGTCATGATTGTTGCTGAACTAGATTGCGATCGTATCCGTGATTCAGAATACAACAGAAACAACAAACGCCGGTTCAAGACTATTTCAGTTCAAAATCATAGTTTGTGTGCATCATATCATTGACACTGTTTATAATAATTCATAATGTATATTGAGTCAACAGTCAATGTCAAGTACAAAACTACAACCAATATTCAGCATTGTTTATTCCAAACCAACAGTCAATCACTGCAAGATAGTGTTCAACTCTACATGAATGCGATTGTATACCATTTTGGTTTCAGTTGTAAATTTGAGCCATTTCGACTTGTCCAAATTTTGCTTGTAATCTGTGCGATTTGTTGTGGATTCAGTGCAAAGGTGAACAAATCTGATATTTCTACTCGAGATGCTGGAGTGTCTTGATTGAATGCACTTTAACAAAACAGTCAATACTATGCTGTTTTGTTGGATCACATCAATTGACATACTCTTGGATACTCGTGGCTAGTTTACTGTGTTGTATTTGTTAGACATTGATTGTAATCTAGTTGGATGTCACGGATAGCAACAATCGACATGACAGTGGACACTATGGACATGTACACTGTAATGTGACTGTCAGCAACCATCACCATCAGTGGGTATCATGTGTTTAAAAAGTACTCGCATGCATTGGATTCAACACCACGTTTGTGATTTGTATTGTATTGTATTGGTGGTGTTGTATTGCATATATCAGTAGATTGTGTGCTGATTTGAATGGCATGATCATCCATTGTGGTTCATGTATCACGATGACAATCTGACCTGTTGACACGGCCAGTTTGTTGAACGACCTGCCAATCTCCAATTCAATTATAGTACAACGTCACTCATTCAGTGTAGCAGCGACAGTTTGCCGAGTTTGATGTTGATCATGTTGTGACACAGTCAGCAGTGTTTGACGTATACAGTCTAGATTAACCTAAAATGACCATGCAGTCATACCAATGGAAAAGTCATGGTTTTGAAATACTACAACAACAGGTTGTTTTATACTGTTGTGTTTGGGTGATCCAAAACATGACCAATTGAACAATCAGTCAAGTATTTGGTATACAGTGACAGTATATGTTGTAGTGATGGATTGTAAATGTGATGATAACTATCCACAAGCAGGGGGACACTACCTGATTATTAGATATATCACCGCAATTGGAGATGAACACAGCATACTACTGAGGTTGATTATACACCAAAAGCAATGCTTGTGTACTGATTCACCCTACAGGGTGTTTCCAGCTTTGTCCACCCTGCATGGTGTATTTGGCTTTTTGTGGTCGTTCATTTGGAGATTGCTGATGGTCACCCTTGAAGCTGCCGTCATTATAAAACAGCAGTCATGTACCAGATTCAACCCATTTTCATCACACTATTCGATACAATGTTGATTACTCTAGAATGCGTTCTACTTGCGTTACAAGCGGTTGCTGCAGTTCAAATTCCATTACATTCACCTTTTGAAATTACCAGTCAATCAAACAATAGGCTATCGAAACGATCACCTGTTAAATTGGATGGTGATATTAACAAATGTTACACAATTAAATCCAATGTTCATGGAGTTGATGTATGTATCATGTCATGGATTGTAGTTTGATATCAATTTGTACCACGCTTAATCAATCTCATACTTGTTTAAAATAGTTGAATTTACAAGTCGATTCAATGAATTCTGATATGGTCGTACCACTTCCTAGTTCAAGCAACGATGTAGGTTTGGCTATACAAAGTATTTCAAGTGGGGAACCCGTTACTATATATTACAAAGGCAAACAGTATAGAGGAATTAGTTCCGATGCAGCTGTGACGATTCCGGGTACTAGGATAACTGGAATTGATTTACCAGTAATAGCAGTTGAAAAACAATCACCAGATCTAGTTGGTATCAATCCAAAGTTTGATGGAGTATTTGGAATTGGCTATACCTCGTTGTCAGATCATCATCCACAAATCACTGCGATGGATGCTTTGCATAATGATGGTGTTATTCCTAGAAACGAGGTTGGTCTTCAACTATGTCCGTATGATATGACTTCAGAAAGTTTCATCAATATAGGAAACACGGACGTAACTCCAAAATGCGGAACGGATGGAAGGAGTGTTGCATGGGTACAATCACCAACAAACGATGAATTTACTGTCAACATCAAGAATATACTAGTCAATGGCAAACAAGTGGATCTGCCCGTTGAATTCCAAAAAAAAGTGGAACATGGACGTACTTTGTACTCCGTTATGGAAACATGCTTTTTTTATATGCAGTTTCCTAAAGTAGTCGTGACAGCGTTGGTTGCTGCTATTGTTGATAGTAATGGGATCACTGTCAAAAATAGTAAATCCAAACACAAGCGCAAGAGCAAACACAAGCGCAAGCTCACCCCGGAAGAAATTGAAAAAATATTTTGGGAACACCGTCTAATGTCCAAATTCGATTTTGATATCAATTGGAGCAAACTGCCGCCGTTTTCAATCGTGATGTTTGCTGAAAACCCCGTGACTGATGACAATAGCAACTCCGTTGTAACGATCAAACTGGGTCCTCGAGACTATCTACAAAGAGTCAATTCCAAAGAATGTAAATATTTGACAATTGTATGCAATATGTGTTGTTTGACTAGTCTGACTAATATATATGTTGGATTATAGTTGTGTTTGCTTTAAAAGCTGGTCCAAATGGCAATGCAGCTCTTGGTACATCATTTATGACCCGACTTCTATTGACATTTGATCGAGCACATAAACGCACTGGGTTCGGTCCTGGATGTGGATGCGAAACTGCGACTGATGGATATCCTACTATTTCGAATGCTGATCAAGTGCTCTGGCCATTAACACAGTAAGTTGTTTGATATTGATGTGTGGGTGTATCGATTGATATATTGATATTGATCATGAGTTTGATGCATACTGTTAGATTGCCTGAACAACCAAGTACTTCAGGTTTAGGTAGAACATCTACTCTTAGGAGATTGTCGCGACTTGGTAGCATTCGCCGTGGTAGTAAGCGGCCAAAAGTTAGTTACGAGAAACTTGAGGATTAAGCAGATATATCAATAAACTGGTTATTTGTTGAATGGATGGTCATCCTGATTATGTTATAGTTGATATGATGTACATCAGAACTCTTGGTGTTAATCATCAACAACTACAACTGATCAAGTAGCTGTACCTGAAAACACTCACCACACTGTCAACAGTCACAAACAGACTCTCAATAAACTCGATTGAATACAATTCATTAGTGACAAACTGCTACTATACGTATATTTAATGTGGTGTGTTCATGTTTGATTGTGTGATATTCCCCTTGTTTTAGTATAATTTGTAACCTGTGTCTGGATGAAGGATTATAAATATATCACATGATTAGCAAATCAAGCTAATTGTGCAAATATAATGTCCTGGCTAGATTCAACTGGATACTTTAGTTGATTTCAATCGTGTCTTGTATAGTCAAAATAATGACAAATATGGTATTATTGCATTATCATACAATGTATAATAACGGTGTGTTTGTCAATGTAATCAAATTTTGACATTAAAACAACAATGGTTAGTATTTTGCGCTATTCATTCACAAGTTCATGTATATTCACGATATTACTTAACAGACATCTATAAAAGTCGTATCATTTGTACGCTATAATTCCGCCACTCATTCTTTCAATCAAATCATTACCAAGCCATTTTTGTCAACATCCACAGTTGATTTTATCCAAACTTGTGTAAAACAAGTGATTCTGACACTGTTTTCTTGAAACATATCAATTCATTTCATACAACATATTCCATTTATCAATCTTTTCACAAGGGTGTTGGAAAAACAGGTCAAGCAACTTATTTTAAAGTTTCAGCTGACAAAACATCATCAAATGCAATAACTGGTGTTTCCAAGTTGAAGCAACGTAGTTTCGTAACACCTGTTTGATCTCGTCTAAAATACATGTATTTTTGATAGCATATACTATCCGATTTTCAATAACAGAAATACTCTTCAAAAACTGTTTTATTCATCAGACTCCTGATTTGTTTGTATTTGTTTCCTGAACTGAGTTGAACATTGAGTGTTGAACTGTAATTGACTGATTTTGCTCTTGATTGTTGCATTGCCGTTTATTCTTTGAATTCAACCATTTTGAACGCTTTTCATCAAGTTTGTATTTCAAAAAGAGATGCTACTTGCAACGTTATCGAATTTTTCATGTATAATGTAAAAATGTCTATTGAGCAGACATTTGACCATTGGATTCATTGATATCACAGTCTTATCATACGGCTTTATGTGCATGCTTGTGAATTGCCCAATCACTCCCGTTTTTGCCATTGAATATGGTTGTAATATGCTTGTTTTTAATGTTTCCAAATAAAAGTGATGGTGAAAATTCATACTGCTATTTCCAACACAATCAGGAGCATTAGCAACACACCTTGTCATTGCACACAAACTAAAAAACAGATATTGAACAATATGATATGCAGCAATCCAGCTTAAAAAAAGAGCGGCAAGATTTGTATTTGTTTCAAGCAACATATTTTCATACAAACAAAGTCAATAAATGTCTACCTTGTTAAACCTTGTTAAAGTTGGAATTGGCAAATATTCAAAGTTTATTGCAAAATATATCCATGACTTGAAAAATGATTGTTGTTGATTGGCTCCAATATTGAATGTTTTTGTTGCTGTAAACACTGAGACTGGTCCTTGCATGACTAAAAACTTGTTTTTTGACAATCTTGTTGTTGCAAATCTATCAACAGCAAAATGTAAATATAAAAGTGTTTGGATGGTTATATTGCCACAAACACATTGTAATCAACAACGGGAGACATATTGGAGTCAGTATTAGTTTTGATGCAATGCAATGCAACATTGACAAGATATGCAATCGTGTGTCTAATTATTTTGTGATTCAATAGTGCCAATATCCAATCACTTACAATTCTGATTGTGGTGGAATGATTGACTCTACATGTTGAACCCTTTCCATTGTCCTGGTGTTTGGAATGACGATCGGTCATCATGTGTTGTCGTTTAAGCCAGACTATTGGCTGGTTATTACTTTGAACATGTCAGAGTTGACAGATGTTACACTGGTAGCATCTACTTTTGCCTGTAAAAATACAAATCACTTGTTGCGGAACATGTTTGGATCTTGGCAACTATGTCTGTTGTTGAATGGAGTGAATGCATTCATGCATCTGTCTTGCTATCGTCAGTATTTCCAAGTTTAGCATCAATTCGGTTTTGTGTAAACCCATCAATACACACAAATGGAGTTGTGTATGCAATGCAATGCAAGAATATTTATAATGACGACTGGATTCCTATGTTTTGGAACAAGTTCTATTTGCAATTACGAATCATGATGATAAAATTGATCATTGAGCTCATATTCAAGGTTCCGTGTTTGGTGTTGGTTGCATATGACTAATCAAAGTTATTTTTGATTTTGAAAATCCAATCTGTACATCAATCTCATCTTGAAACTTTATTGAAGGTTATTTCCAACTGAATTTAAAAAATCCCAAACACCGTTGCCAATTTTGTCAAAAAACTGAGGCGAGTTTTGACTATTGATGATTTCCATATCTTGAGCGTCAACGGAGTTCTTTTCAGCAGTATGAATAACCAGAGTCTGTTGCAATGAGTAGCCTGATTTGTGTAGTTTCGACAAAGTGCTAAGAAGGTGAGTTCGTTTTTCTTCAAACCCTTTCAACACTCCACCGCCATTACGTTTGCAATAAAAGCGTTCAGGAACTGTAGTATTGTAAGCGTTTGCAGCTTGTTGTTTTGACATTTTCTTGACAAGTTTGATTTGGACAATGTATACAGTCTTTGTATTGGCACACTTGTAGATGATATCTGGTCCACACATATGATTGGGAAAGTATACTTGATCTGAATCACCAAATAGTAAATAGCTGGATGCAGAATCTCGGGATGCCTTGATACTATTGGCAGCATCAGAACCAGAATAGTTGGCTACTAAAGCAAACGCAACCAAGTATTCCACCAAATAGCCAACCGTTTGAGGGTTAGGGTTAGGATACAAGCCAATTCTTTGGTATAAACTTTTGACAGTGTGTGCAAAGGGCAAAAAGTAGCAAAGACACTCGATTACAGCCAACTCTTGAATTTCAATGGAAGATATAGTTCCATCGACAGTCTGAACAAATCCCAAACCGTAACGTATTGCAGTAGCAGCGTCATTTCCAGTTACTTTAAGTTGCATTTTTCCCTTCCAGATGGCATCAATAAATGCGTCGCAAATGGGTCCTGACAGGTTATCACCAGCAATGACTGTCAAATGAACGAATGCCTCCATCAAGGTCATTTTTCAAGAATCTAAGCGGGAAAATCTGGTCATCAACATTAGATATCCCAGTGATAAATTTGCTAATTGCAGCGTCAATATCATTTGATTTCATATATGTGCCCAGAATATACGATATGAAACATGGTCTTCCATGACATAATTCAAAGTCTGAAATTCTTGATACAATAGCATCCACTTGATTGACTTGATGGTCTTGTAAAAATTGTCTAGCATACTGTTCGACCTCGAGTTTTGTCAGAGAATGGAAATCTGATACAACTACATAATATGTGATTTGATCATCCTTCATAGCACTGAACTCCACTAGCTCTTTGATGAGTTCAAAGTCAATACTGGTGGCAGACAGTAGGCAATGAGGAAATACTCCCATCATTTTGGAATGGTATACAAATGGAGTGAAAAAGGGACGAAAGTTTCTACTTTCTGGTTGAAAATGAAAACGACAACCTCCTGCAAGATTTCGGACTCCATCAATGGCAATAAAAGGAAATGGGTTTGTAATGGCAGTTGGGGCAAGTCCAGGTTCTTTTACAAGGGTCGTAAAAAGACGCTCAAACAAGTCAACTCCAAAGAATGCGATAGGATGGAGTTGAGCCAGAAGAATTTGCCAAGGTTCCTTGAATCCCTTGCTTATCAAGTAATTGCAAACAGAAACCCGAACGAAATACAACAGTTGGATAGCATGTTCAGTGAGTTCAGGCTGATAGTTACTCTCGCAATACACCAGGCATTCATACATGTCAGTAGAACCAAAGTCATCTTGAGAGCTCTTGCAAGCAAAGTAGTACCCAAAGTTTGAATAAAGCAACTCTAGAAACATCCTTGTTTTTCCTGCACCAGAAACAGCAAAAAACAGTTTGATATTATCAACATCGTCAATTTGATAATTGGTTACTCTCCTATCAAGACGGTGTTCCAAGCAATTGTCGTTAAATACGGCGTTATTTGGAAACCTCGAGACATTGACAATCCTTTCCAGATGATGTATCAAATACTTGAAAGCGTCATTTGGGTTTCGCAATTTCAAATTATTGGCTTTAATGAATTCTTGGTCAGCTCGACTCTGTACAGTGTCTTTGATAGGGACGGTCAACATTCACATCATTCTTGGATTTGATAGTCAGTGGATTGTTGTAACAACCAAAAGGATGTTGAATAGAGGTTAGAAGCCCATATCGAGCAATGGCTGGACCATACACCTCAAAATGAAGAGTGAGTTCGTCAACAGGAATAGCGTCAAGGAGGGGAGTGGTGACAGTCTTGTAAGCTGAAATCAAATGAGAAACAGTAATCAGAGGTAGAGTTCCTTGTGGTCCTCTTCCGTGGGCTGTATCGATAAGCACTGGAGAGTTGTTCTTGTATTGAAGATAAAATTTGGTCATTTTTGAGTTTGTTGAAAGAAAAGAAAAGAAAAAAAGAACAAAACGTGAATTTGTCTCACATTCAAAATTTGAATTTGTGAGACAAATTCACACACTTTGAAGTGTTTAAACATTTGTCATGTGTTCAATATAATGACTCGAGTCTTTTATTCAACATTTTAATATTCAATTATTGTTAATCAGTCAATTGTTGGATTTGTAAATATGTTACAAAACATTCATTTACATACTGAATCTGACAAGTGGATGTGGATTGTTTTAATCAACAATTGGATTGAATTGACTGCAATATTGTCATTGATTGCAGTTACTGTTGACCAATACATTGTAATACATTGACAGTTTTGACATCAGCATTGCCATTCATGTCAAGTTGTGTGTAGTTGCTAATATTACACCACAACAATACTGTGCCAACTTTCAAGTCCTGTGATACACCGTTTTAACTATGATCGGATCGAGGTTGATCACTTGTCAATACACGGGTCAGTTGTATAATCGTACAACTGTTGGTTAACCAATGTTTGACTGTCGATATTTGAATCATGAATATTGTCCAACATAATTGTCACTAACATTGTCGTTGTCGTTTGATTGCCTTGTTCTATGAATAATCATTGTACTGTCCTTTGTTCAGTTGTAGTAGGTTTATTGAAACCATGTCACAATTCTTGATATATTGCACATGATCTTGTAATTGTTGGTGTTGTCTGTAGTAATTCTGTCAATGTATACGAATGTCACTTGTTGCTAATTGGTAGTTGTTTATGATTAATACACAACCGATCGGGTTTGGTGACCATTCTA